CTGACTCTGGTTTGACTCTATTGAGAGAGTTGAGGTTCAGCATATGCCTGAAGTGTTATTCTTCAACATGAAAGAATGAAGTTCTTAATGTGTTTTCATCTAGTGCTCAAGTTTTCATCTTTAACTGGAGCATTGGTTATTCATGTCAGGGGGAGTCATGTCTTTGTCTGTGGATTGTTGCTGTAATGATACAAATATTCTTTGTATGTTCTTCAAGCTTGTGGAAATCTTATTCCTCTAATATGGGTATGATGTCAGACAATATGTTATGACATTACGAAGTATTGGCGATCTTGACAAGGCATGGTGGGTTCTAGCCATGTGAAGCTGGATGATCAATCAGAAGTTCACATATCTCTCGAATGATTAATGGTTTAGTATGGGAGAATTTATTTCTCTCTGTATATTTTTTTAAGAGATGTCACAAACGTGATATTCTGATATCTTGGTGTGTGTCACTAAGTCTAAGTTAAAGGAGAACACTTAGAATCCAACAGAAGACAGTGTGGATGAAGATGTGTTGGTCAATATTTGTGCTTGCAATGTCTGACTGGATATCAGAATATTATCCAAGACATGTTTCCTGTAAAACCAACAAGGGAGTGATATGAACAGTTTGATCAAACACGTGTCAGAACTATGCATGTGTATATATTGGGACTGGTTCTTTTCAGCAGAAATAGTCCAGAGCTATTAAAGTCATTCAAAGTTGTTCTTGGATGGTGCACATTGTTGTTTGGTGGCAGTTTCTCCTCAAATAACGTTTCCTTTGACCAAGATTATTTCTACATTCAATGATCGTTATTTACCAAGAAAATGATCAGCTATTTATAGAGGGTTCTCCTGTCCTCTTTCACCATACGAGTGTTCATCATCATAATGGGTTTTATTTGGATTTGAGCAAGCTGTACCTGGGTATGATATTTTGAAGGCTTCCTTTGCCAAGTTTTGGCTAAAAAGAGGCAGAAATATGGTGATCAAGGTATTCAAGTGCTCGATTGATTAATTTGGAGGCTGCTTTTACAGATCTGTCACAAAGATGTCAGATAAGAAGTTATATATCCTATGTCTGTAATCTTTTGTGACTTGTGATCTGAGTTATGAACACAGTTGTGATCGGTGTTCTGAGTTACCAGGAGTGGTGGTTAATTTGTCTAGGTCGACTGGTGGATGTTGATCAAAAAGTGGTTAAGTAATCTCTTATGCCACCATTGGTCTTTCGTGACAAGGAATGGTTCATGGTTTGAGGGGGAGCGTAAGCTATCTTCTTCCTCATGTACACCAAATGACTTCATGACTTTCTACTCCTTTTCTTGAATGTGTTGTTCTTCTTTGGTGATGGGTTTGGTACTGCAATTAAGCTTATTCAAAATGCTGAAAAGAAGATGTCCTAACATCTTATCTGAAGACTGACTCCATGGTATTGTACTGCTGAGTTCAGTAGTTGCTGAAGACTACTGCTGAAGAATTATTTTGATTTATTGTTGTAATTTGAGGTGTAATTTTAATTATTTATTTTAGCTAAAATTTGTCAAAGAGAGAGATTGTAAGTTCCTTAATTTTAAGGTTGACATTAATTTTTATAAAACAAATAAGACAATAATATATTAGATAGGAGATGTTAACTTTCTAATAGAAACATGTTGAGCAAGAAGTCCTATCTTATGCTAGGACATGTTGAGTTGAAGTGTTTCAACATCTGGAGCAACATGTCGGATAAGATGTCCTTTGAAGGAGCATACGACATCGCGTCTGAGCTGAGCTGGATTAATGGATTCAATTATGATTTAACTGCTGCTATTATGCAATATTATATGGCGGTGATTTAAAGGTCAAGAAGAATCGAGCAGAATATTGAAGATTATGCAGTTTCTAAATATGAAGATATTTTAGGAAACTAATGATTCAAGACCTTGTTTGTAGTAGAAGTTACTGCTGTTTGTTACAGCAGATATGTTATGTTTTGAAGGCTCAAATCCAGTTTGGTATAGGTTATAAAAAGAAGTCTTTGTAAGCTAGGAAATGCACGAGATCAAGATGTAGAAGTCTAGGCTTTATCTTTTTGCCGCTCTCTAGGAGAGTTGGTGTAAGTGAACCACTCGAGTTGTGAGATGGTCATTGTGTACTCATTCAGAAGCTGTGAAGTAATGAGTTGAGTATTGTTCTTGGAGAAAGCTTTGAAGCAACTCCAAGTTATATTCTTAGTCAAGAGTCTTGGCTAGAGATTGTCATGGAAGTGTGTCTTCCTGTTTGTTCAGAATTGTTTGTGTTGATCCAATCGCTGTATGTGATTAATGAGGGATTGAAGAGGGCCTAATATTTAGGTGTGTCTTAGATATAAGTCTATCAAGAGTAGTGATTAAGTGATTAGGCCGTAAATTAGAGATTTGTTGTATGGTCTATTAATTGATACTATTTGAGTAGACTTATCCCTGACTTATGGTAGCCCCCATAATAGGAAGGTTGTTCCGAACTGAATTAACAATTTTTTGTTGTTTATTACTTTTCAGTACTAATTTTTAACTGTCATACGCCTTATCGTAATGTTTAAGTCAGATCAGATGTCTCGACATATCATAAAACATCTGAGTTCTGCTGTATTAAAATTTTATTATTAACTTGGAAATACATGTAATCATTTCAATTCACATTCAATTTATAGTATGCAAAAGCCATTGCTCAGTCTAACAGTTTAAACTACTTGCATGTTTTCATTCTCAACAGTAAAGTTATAAAGGGAAACAATTTAGATTATCCCTAATTTAATCTTAAATTATAGAGAAATACAGATTATGTTCAACATAGTTCACTAGTGTGTCATCAATTGAAGTACAACGTAGGGAGTAGAATGACATACTAGAGCAATTCTCAAGTGGATTAAGAGATTGATTTTGTGTTTTTCTTCCTTAAAGCATTTTTTTTTCTCATTTTCTAGGATTTTTTTGTGTGGGTAATGGAGAGAGTGTGTCAAGGTGTTTGAGTGGTTGATTTTAAGTTAAAACATGTTTTCCAAAGTTTTGAATTGAACCTTTCGATAAATGAGTTGTAGTTGGCTAAGTGAGAATTCTAAATTGAATGTATGTTATTCTAAGGTGTTGTTTATTTTTATTTGTAAAGTGACTATTTTAAAAATAATCGAATAAAAATAATGATTAACTTGAAAGTAAATGATATGAGAATATAAAATAAATTCACGTGTATATGTTTTTTAGTTATGAATGATCAATGTATTTAATTTTAATAAAATAATTATAATTTTATTTATAAAAAATAAAATAGTTCATGAGAATATACAGACTAATAAAATAATTATAAATTTTATTTAAAAAAATAAATTAGTTATCGAGAAGTTGATACCACCTACTTTCACATATGACAAATATAGTTGAAAGAATATTTATGTTTTTAAATTAACATTGAAATATGAATGTGTTTCGTCATGAGAACCCTTATTGCACTAAATTAGCCACATTCAAGTTATCATCCTATGTATGTCAATGGACAGAGACAGAGACATGTTTAAAAAGGCTTCATTTAATGAATTAAAAATTGATCATCAAATTCTTTTTTCTTTTACATTTTTGTTTTTAGGAGAAATGAACTCTAATATTTCGGAATTCGTGCTACAGAAACACGTGCATTAGTTAAACATTGATCATCACATATTTTAATTTTATTAAAATCATACTCAAAAAAAATTATCGAAAATTATCCTATTTAATAATATCTCATTAACATCGAATGCTCGTTAAAAGAAAAATTAGAGAATGTCTCATTGACTTAATTTTACGACAATTATCTTTAATTATTAAGAAAGTAAATAAATTTCCCTAAAAATAAGATAATTTCATTGTAATTATAAATTTTGAGCCCTAAAATCTTCACTACATTGAAAAAAAAACATCAACTAAACGAAAATGAATGAGTAAATAATAAAATGTTTCATTTCTATAACCCTATCATTAGACTATTTCCCGTGATTTATATATTCAACATCTTTATTTTTTACTTTTTACGCTCTATATCATTTTCTTTCTTTTTCATATGATAATTTAACATTCATTCAATTTTTACTCACTACAATAATTTTGTTTAATAAAATTCAACATCCTATTCCACCATTTTTATTTCATATTTTTATTTTCTTTTATGTTTTTTTTTAATAAAAATCATTTTTTTCTATATCCAAATCAAATGAACCAAATCTCTATTTATAAATAAAAATAATAATAAATTTTGGTGAAAATAAAAAAAAAATTGACTTACTAGGAAATAATTGACCTCAAATAATTAGAACGAGATAAAAATCTAAAAAACTACAACTACCAATAAGATTTTGCCAAGTGTTTTATGTGACCTCCAATTCAACATGTATTTTCAACACTAATTAATACACCTCACTTTCAACACTCCATTGTAACCGTTCAACTATTTAATAATTTTCTCAATACCCCCATTGTAAATGATCTTAGTGAGAAACTATAAAAAAAAATCCACATCAGCAGGATTTTCAATCCTTATTAGCAACAACAATAAGCATAATAGTTTTGATACAAGAACCATAAAACTTAATCGTAGTTTTCTTTTTGATCAAAAACTAATAGTGCATCAGGTCTTGTAATGAACAATAATGGTGGTGGTACTAGTGGACAAAAATAAGTTTACAGCAGTTCTCAAGTGACTAAAATCACAGAAAATATGAACCCATATTGTCTAAAAGAAACGAACATGGATATGCTACAACTGAAGATCCGGACTCCATGAAGACACCACCATTTTATAGCCACCAAACATGCTTGACGTCTAAAATTGTACGCGCGACCATTGGATTTAGCCTACCAGCTCCACAAGTCAATAATGGTTTCACTGTTGCAATCGAGGTTTGGAATGGTCAATGGTATATTCCCATACACACCAACTGGGTCTACTGCTTGTGAATCCAAATCTTCTACCAAGGTTTGAACTTTGAAGTTTCCTTTTAATAAAAGCTCAATTCAAAATCAATGGAAGTTGCATCGCTGTAATAAGGGATGAGAGTAATCAATATGTTTTTCCCATAGGGGCTTGTATTTTTCAATCCCAATCTTCAACCAAGGCTTGGAGTTCCCATTGAAATGCAGTACTGCCCCTCTCTCTATTAACTGAGGATCCACGTTTGTGTAGCCAAAACCCAATACATGCCACGACGGATCCAATGGCTCCGTTAATCCGTAAAATGTCAACAGTCCAGGTGGCAAGGTACCGAGTTTCCACAGTGTCCGATCAACGTTATTTTCTTGCCAATAGTGGTAGATGCCAGTTACATTCTTTTTCCTCCATTCAACTAAATCAAATACATTCATCCCATAAGCCCATCCGCATGCATCGGGATCAAAATGTGCTTTTATAAGAGGATGAGAATAGTTCAAGTATTTATGGTATCTATGAAATGTCTCCATGCATGTCTCAACAGCTCCATTAACATTCCCATTCAAATCAATTGAAAAAAGATCAGAAAGATCCTTTTGAACCACGACATCATCATCCAGGAACACAATCTTCTTCAGTGCAGGAAAAACTTCAGGGATATAGAACCTCAGGTGGTTAAGCATGGACAGATATTTGGGGTTACGAAACTTGATAGGTGTCTTTCCATCATCACTGTTCCCAGAAAAGTAGTAGCTCTGTATTTCTGAGTCCTGAAGTTGCTTAAGCACAGGAACATATGAAGCATTTAACCAAGTGAAGTCTTCATACTTCTGAACTTCCACAGTTACTCCACGGAAATCATTCATGGTAAACCACGCCTTCATCGCAGCATAATTTATTTCATCAGTGACAAGATGAAAAACAATCATATTGGGATTTTTAGAATTTTTTGCAGTTGAATTGACTACGACCGAAGTTGCAATGATGTTATCAGAGAACACACAAAAGTGGTAACGATTTCTATCCTTAATCTTCATCTCTGTGTGCCTTTTGTCCTTCAATTTCTTTTGCAAATTAAGGTCTCTGAACCATTCTGTTGTCAACTGGACACCAAGACAGTATAAGCTTTTTGGGACTTCTTCTGCCGCTATTTGTCCATATTTTGAACTCTTTTCACTTACAGAATTCATCTGTTCTTCAAGAGCCTGGATTTTTGCTTTGAATCTCATGATCATGGTTGCACTGTCATAATGGAGCTGCTGGGCCTGGTATAACAATAACGCCATATCACGGATAGCACTCTCTGATTCTCTGGTTGTTAAAGGAGAACGCCGAGTAGCAGCATTTGAGAGGAGAATCTGCGAATTGCGGATCTGAGCACTTAGTTCCCAAGCAAATTGGAGATTGTTACTTTCTTTAGCAATTACAACAAAAGCTTTTGCTAGGGATATCTGATCATTCAGTTGTCTGGTCACCGAGTCTGAACTTAACAACTCGTCAGTAATATTAAGGCCTTCCAGAATCCTATCATTTTTGTAAGTTCTCTGCACAATAGAGACACAAGAAGTTATATGCTAAACAAAGACCCAATTTCACCCACCCACCAACCCCCATCCCTCCAAAATAAGAAAGAATAATATTCTAGCTCTGAAATAAGTAAAGCATGCCATGCAAACTACGTTCCAATGTGAGGACAGTAATAGCACGGTACAGATTCAAATTAGATGAACGTGAAGTGTATTCCCTATGGAAATATTCTTTTTTTATCTGATATAGAATTCCATTCAACTCACCCATTATCCATTCATTCCATATAAAGAAATTAACCAAAAGAGAAGAAAGATAGAGAAATAGAACAACAGCCAACAATTCTCAATCCAAATCCAGTTGTTCCTCCCCAATAGATCATATTAGGGATGCATTATGTTGTTAATCACGGATAACGGTGCAGAGCGCTGGACCCCAAAACCACTATAGCGGATAACAGGATAGCCGCTATATCAAAACTAGAAAACATTATACAAACTAAATATAAATCCAAAGTCAAACATGATACATACATAGTCAAAAAATGACAAAATACATAAAATTAATGAGGTAATCATACATGATAACTATAATTTTGTTTATAAAAAACAATCATAATTAACTTCAGTCATTCGTAACTAACATTGAAAATAAAACTTAATAGTCATAATTCTAAGCAAATCAAAACAGAGATTGGTGTTTTAAAGGAATATCCCATTGTTGAGTGCAAGTAGATGTAAAATTGAAAACAGAGGTAGAGGAGAAAACTGAGAAATTTAAAAGAGCAGAGCCGTTGGTCACAATCCTCAGTCTCCGCCGCCGTAGCATTGGCTGAACCTACCAGTCTTCATCGTCTGAAACAAAGAAGCCCTCACAGAAGATGAAGAAGGCTTTGTGAGAGAACCAGAGAAAGAAAATTTAAAGTCTTCACTGAAACTACCAGTCTTCGTTGTTGGAAGAACCAGAAAATAAGGCACAACAATAATTTGGCTGTGTAGTCAATTTTCCATTACAGAATAAGGCACAACAATAACTTGTTTAAGAACCCATATCATATAAACTTAACAGAAAATGTAGCTTCCACAGGCTAGACTATGATCTAAAAATAAATTAGCCGAGAGCTTTCAATACAAACGTTTGGCAAACAATAACAGAAATCTACAAAAAGGTGAGGAAAAAAAAAGCAATACCTTGGACAAAGCCGGTCTAGACTCAATCTGAGTCCCTTTGGTGAGAATATAGATAAAGAGAAGAACCACTGCAAAGCACAATGCCCACCACAACGCATCAGGAACCCTTCTCCGCACTGGCCTTCGAAAATCTGTTGCTCTTCGCCTCATTTTCCAAACTTGTTCAAAACCCCCAATTTCCCCTCTAAAACTTAGGGGAGAACAGAACAAGAGAAAAGAGGGAGCAACAGATCACGTGGTATTACCGAGATCTACACAAATTAGGGTTTTAGATTTGGATATTTAGGTTGAGAAGAATCAAACTTAAGAGAAATATTTTGTTTTGGTTTTCTGAGCATGAGCCAGTGAAGAGCTTTGAGACCACTACGGAAAGCAAAAAAAAAAACACCACATTAGTTACAAAATAGATCAATGAGCCAGTATCAAACATTCATGCATGACTCACATTTAAAACAATTTCTCAGCTTATATAGCGGCTTGCAAAACTCGAAAAGGAAAGAGACCCATTCTAGTAGAATAAGAGAACCACCTAGATGTGATTCCCATTTCTAATTAACAAACAAAATAAGAAGTATACACACTGAACCATGGCAAAGAGTTAGAGTATAACGAAGTGTGATGTATTTATAACAATTTGAGTTTAGCATTGCTTAAAATAACATAAACATGATTTGGATAAGAGTAAAATAATGTGAGAAGTATCCATAGTAAGTAAAAATATCACAAAGTTTGTATCAAGGAAAAGAAAAACATAAATCACAAAGCAACTATGATAAGATGGGTTATGGTAGCTAGCTTGAAAGTTGAAACCAGAAAAGTGTCACTATGCAGTACTTGTTTTATATTCTTAGGCACCCAACAAAAACTTCTAAATATAGATCAGAGGTTTCTACTAACTATACACATAGAAGAGAATCAACTATAATATAAATAACTAAAAAAAGATTGGTTATTTATTTATAATAACAATATACCTATCTTAATTTAAAGTAGATGATTGAGCTTCTTTACCATTTAATATAGTTTTGCATGGTTCATTGAAAAAAAAGAAGTAAGATAGGTATTACAATATACAATAAATATTATAAAAATGACGACAACAATTATTTGTAATTTATTTTTGGTAAGAGAGAGAGGATCGAAACCCGAAAAAGAGAAGACTACACTCGAATCAATTTAAGAAAAAAAAATCTAAATAATCATTCTCTATAAAAATATTAATAAAATCTAAAGTGACAAGTTAATTCGTATAACTATTTTGTAATTTTGTTTGCTTCTTAAAAGTGTAATTTAATCATTAAATTTTCTCTCTAACAATTTCTGTTAATTTTGGAATAAACTCATAGTTTTCATTATGATTTGAAATGTACAAAACAACATTATATATACTGTTAAAGTAACAAACTGTTTAGTAACAAACTAAACAGAATTGTAACAAACTATAACAAACTAAAACTAACTGTTTAGTAATAAACTAAACAGTATTATTTTCATCATGTAATAGCCCCCCACAAGTTGGATTATGGATGTCTAATAGACCAAGCTTGGAAACAAAAGAATCGAAAGAGGGAGCTGCCAAAGGCTTGGTGAGAACATCTGCCAGTTGAGCAGCAGAAGAAACTGGTAAAAGATGGATGAGACCAGTTTGGATTTTCTCACGAATGACGTAGCAGTCAATTTTGATATATTTTGTCCGTTCATGAAAGGTGGGGTTATGAGCAAGGTAGATAGCACTTTTGTTGTCACAATAGACTGAGCTAGGTTGATCGAAGGAGATGTGGAGATCCTTGAACAAATACTGCAGCCATTGCAATTCACAAGTCAAGCTTGCCAAGGCCCTGTATTCTGCTTCTGAACTGGATTTGGATACTGTAGACTGCTTTTTGGATTTCCAGGATATGAGGGAATTGCCAAGGAACACACAATATCCAGTTACGGATCTGCGGGTAGCAGGGCAACTTGCCCAATCTGAGTCTGCGAAGCCAGAGAGTTTGAGTGGAGAGGAAGATGAATAGAACAAACCCTTGGCAGGAGCACCTTTGAGATACTTGAGTACTCGAATTGCTGCAGAATGATGAACTTGCATAGGATGTGAGATGAATTGGCTGAGCTGTTGAACGATGAATGCAAGGTCAGGTCTGGTGGTAGTCAGATATAGAAGTTTTCCAACAAGCCTTCGATAAGTTGTGACGTCTTCGAAAGGTGGTGAGTTATCATCATGAAGCTTCAAGGAGGAATCGAAGGGAGTAGAGCAAGGTTTAGTAGCCAATAAGCCACTGTCTTCGAGCAATTCCAAAGCGTACTTTCTCTGATTGAGAAAAATGTCGTGAGTGGATCTGGCAACTTCTAGACCAAGAAAATATTTTAGCCTACCAAGGTCCTTGATTTTGAAAGTGGAATCAAGGAAGCATTTGACATATTTTATTTCCTGCAAATCATTACCGGTTAAGACAATATCATCAACATAGACTAATAAAACAGTAAAAGAAGAGTCATGTGATTTTGTGAAAAAAGAATGATCAGTAGAAGAATATGAGTAGCCAAGAGAGATAAGGGCAATGGACAATTTCGAAAACCATTGTCTGCTAGCCTGCTTCAGGCCATATAGTGACTTATGCAATTTGCAAACTTTGTTGGTCGAAGAGGTGCAAACTTCGTTGGTCGAAGGAGTGCAAACTTCGTTGGTCGAAGGAGTGTAAACTTCGTTGGTCGAAGAAGTGCAAACTTCGTTGGTCGAAGGAGTGCAAGCTTTGTTGGTCGAAGAAGTGCAAACTTTGTTGGTCGAAGGAATGCAAACTTTGTTGGTCGAAGAAGTGCAGACTTCGTTGCTCGAAGTGCAAACTTTGTTGGTCGAAGAATTGCAGACTTCGTTGGTCGAAGAAGCAGGAAGCATGAATCCAGGAGGCAGATCCATATACACTTCCTCATGTAGATCACCATGAAGGAAGGCATTGTTGATGTCAAGTTGTTCCAAGTGCCAATTCTTAATGGCAGCCACTGAAAGAAGGGTTCGAATAGAAGTAAGCTTCGCAACAGGTGAGAAAGTGTCGAAATAATCCACCCCATTCAGCTGAGTATATCCTTTCGCTACTAAACGTGCCTTGTATCGTTCGATCGATCCATCATCATGATGCTTGATTTTGTAGACCCATTTGCAACCAATCGATTGTTTGCCTGCAGGAAAATCAACAACAGACCAAGTATTTGTAGATTCAAGAGCATCTAACTCAGATTTCATAGCATTGTTCCAACAATCAAATTTGCAGGCTTGTTTATAGGTTTTTGGTTCTGTGAAAGAACTTATGGATAGACAAAATAATTTGTGATTAGGACTACATTGGCTATAAGATAATACAGAAGAGAGAGGGTAGTTAGAGGAACCTGAGTCAGATGCTGGCAGCATGGGGGATAGCAAATTGCAGTGATAATCGGATAGATAAGCTGGAGGTTTACTATTTCGATTGGATTTTCTGGTTGGCACAGGAGGGGAGGGGCAAGGGGAGTTGTTAGTGTCATTCGAGGAAGAAGAGAGGTTAGTGGGAGATTCTGGATGGGGGAGAAAGGTAGGAGAGGAAGGTTCATTTGATGGTGGAGGTAAGTTGGGTGGAATGTTGGTGAAAATATCAGGTGAATCAATCGAAGGAGGGTCAGGAGTAGGAATTATAGGATTAAGTGCAGGTGGGATGGATACAAAAGGGAACACAGTTTCATAAAAGAATACATTCCTTGAAATGTAAAATTCATGTGTGATAGGATCATAGAGAAGGTAGCCTTTTGTGCCTTCCCTGTAGCCATGAAAAATAGATTTCCTTGCTCTTGGTTCGAATTTAGTGCGATGGTTAAGCAAGGTCGAAGAATAGGCAAGACAACCAAAGACTCTCATATGGCTAAGGCTGGGAGGAATAGAATGGAGTTTTTGGTATGGAGAGTGGTTGTTTAAAAGAGGAGTGGGAAGACGGTTTATAATATGAATGACATGTTGTATGGAAAGGTGCCAAAGGTTGTGAGGGAGGTGAGAGTGGAAAGAGAGGGCATGGGCAACATTCAAAATGTGTTGATGTTTTCTTTCCACGATACCATTCTGTTGAGGCGTTTCCACACAAGACCTTTGATGAATGATTCCTTTAGAAAGGTAGAAAGTGGTCATGAGAAACTCAGGACCATTATCACTTCGAATGCACTTGAGTTTCTTGTTAAATTGGGTTTCGATAAAGGATATGAAGTGAATTAAATGGTTTCTGGTTTCACTTTTGTTGGCCATAAAAATTGTCCAAGTAAACCTGTTGTAATCGTCTACGAGGGTTAAAAAATACTTGTGGCCACATATCGAAGGTGTGGAAAGAGGGCCCCAAATATCAACATGAAGTAAATCGAAGATGGCAACAGACTTAGTATTACTGTGAGTAAAGGGAAAATGTTTTTGCTTAGCCAAATGGCAAGTGTTACAGGGCTTATGATTGTCATTGTAGGTGACAAAAGGAAATTGAGAGGAAATACATTTGTGTATGTAGGGACTTAAGTGTCAAAGCCTAAGATGCCAAATAGTAGCAGGATCGAATTAGGGAGAAGAGGAGGTGTTGACAGATCCAGATGTGGGAGAGATGGTCTTAGGTGGGGTGGCATCAAGAACATACAATTTGCCAATCCTCCTAGCTGTAAATCCAGTCATCTTGGATTGGGGCAACTGCATAATTTGACAGCAATTAGGAGAAAATTTCACATCATATAAAGTGGAGTCAAAAAGAGTGGTGACAGAAATAATATTGACATGAAATGAAGGAAAGTAATAAACATTGTGAAGGACAAGTGAACCACATAGTAAAACTGAACCAGCAATAGTTGTAGTGACAGAGTCACCATTAGGAATTATCATAGATTTAGGTGCAATGTGGTATGTGGAAACGAAACTGGCAAATGTATGGGTGATGTGATCAGTGGCACCTGTGTCAATGATCCACCAGTTATGACAAGGAAGATTTGAGGAATTCTTACCAGAGGAAGTATGAGGAAAGGTATTGGACACAGAATTAGCAGTATAAACTGAATTAATCGAGGGAAGTGAAGGAGATTGCAAATTAGATTGTTGGAGGAGCTGCAGAATCTGAGTGTATTGTTCTTGAATCGTAGACAAAGCACTTGGACTGGTGTTT